CCCCTCCCCTGTGCATGGTTGTTTTGCTTTGGTTTGGGAGTTTGTTTGTTTGTTTTGTTTTGTTTTTGGGTGGGCGGGGGTTTGTTGGGGTTTTTTTTCACCATTATAATGACATTATGTAAAAGATCCACGTATTCAAGACGTACTCCTTTCTCTTGGACAATGGGTGACCGTCTGAGATAATTTCGACTAAATCCATTTCAATCTCCTCCAATATCAGGTTGTATACGTCGACTGTTTTGTTAGCCTGCCGTGAAACTTACCGTATGACCGTTCACACACACCACGACAGGGAACGGAGGGTCAACCGTAAACAACTGCCGTCAAGACAAGCTATTATAATAATAATATTGTCATAGACCATACCTATTTTATGATGAGGAACTCGCCTCGTTTGAATGGGACGTTCACACTCAGGTGACATGTGCCCATGGTACAGTAGCGGTTAGGCCAAGGAAGTTATACAGTTGTAAGGTCCTTGGGTTAGGCCTGTATTTATTAGGAAGTTGTTAGGCACGCGTACGCCCGCCTAACACTGAATTGTTAGGGGCACGTATTTTCAAAGTCAAGGTCATTCATCGTTCCCCAATCCCCGATTCATTTCACCAGCGTCTTTGAGAAGGTACAATTTAACAAAGGGGTTGAGACTAGTAAAAATACGATACGTTGAGATCCAGACCGTTGAAATCAGCACATCTTACGTGGACATTGACGACAGTGATGTATATTTTATTTTGGACTGCTTCAAGCGTTCCATCCCTATTATTTTCTTAAGCTACTCTGAGCGTCTAGGGTCAGGCCCATCGCTGCCGTATGCAACGTTCGATTCCCGAGTGGGGAGAATTTTTCTCGAGTATCTCAGGCTGTTTGCTAGGATGTTGACGTCCAACCAATGAATATCGCCAGATGCAAGGAGAGCGTTCCCAACCAAGAAGAGACAGACTTCCACACACTCAGCATAAAAAAAGAAGAGTGTGTGCGGGGCACAGGGAGAACAAAGTTTTGCTCCGAGGAGAGGTCAGGCGTGTCTCAAACCAGCTCCTAATGGAGACGATTAGCAGGAAGACCCTGGGGTGGACGCTGGAAAGGAGAGATGAGCAGCTATGGATGTGCCGCCTGCTATGATTCTAGCTCAGGATCCAAGTAATCAAAGTTGGCTATTGTAATTCTGATCTGTCTGGTATTTCGTTTGAACGAATGAGGAAGTTGCAAGTTTCCTAAAATAACACCACGACACCACGAGACTAGTACTGAAGAAAAAGAAATGGCTTCCAGTTCATAAAACAATCCAATGTTATGAAGTTTCTAAATTCTGTTACTGATGTCTCAACGACAAAACCCTGTCGTATCTATCTGATCTTTTAACACTGTATGTTCCATCTCGTCAGTTACGGTCACCCACACACGCAGCAACATTCAGAGCCCCTTGGAAGAAATTATAGGCCTAAAATCATTTGGTGAGAAAAGTTTCTCATTTTTTTGGCCCTAAAATCTGGAACTTAACAACAAATCTAGGTTTAAGCGATTCCTCAAGACACGTTTGTTTCAGTCATAGTTATAGTGTGTTTATAACTGATATGGTTTGGTTTTACTGTTGTCCTTACGTGTATATAATTAATTTATGGATGTGAACGTTGTTCTTTATGTGGCTGAACAGTTTTTTTCTTGTTCCAGTGAAATATTTAATTATCCTGTGTGAATCGCTTGGTGAACAAAATGTGATTGATGTAAAGCGCTGAGAGCTTATCGCAGCTTGTATGGGATAAAGCGCTATATAAATACAATCTATTATTATAACTATATTAGAAACTCCATATATAGCTGTAGGCAGGTCTTTTTTATGTATTTGTTTGCTTGTTTGTTTGTTTGTTTGTCGTTACTTTTTTTGTTGAAGTTGTTGTTTGTTTGTTTGTTTGTTTTTTGGGGGGGTGGCGGTTTGCTGTTGTTGTTGTTGCTGTTTCTGCTACTGCTGTTGCTGCTCCTGTTGCTGCTCCTGTTGCTGTTGCTGCTGCTGCTGCTGCTGTTGATGTTGTTGTTGTTGTTGTTGCTGTTGTTGTTGTTGTGTTATACATGTTGTTCTACCACTCAGCCACTGATATACCCTGGGTTTGTTTGGGGTTGTAGTTGTTTGTTTGCTTGGGGTTTTTTTTTTATTATTGTTGTTTTGTTTTTGTTCGGGGGGGGGGGGGGTTCAGAGAGAGCAGCTCAGATTGAAATGAGAAGCAAATGAGTTTCGTGGGTTACAGTGCCAAACTACGATCACAGGAAAGTTCACAGCGCTATATAATGAATTATAAATGTGACGTATACCACAGGAGACGCCACAAGACAGAGTGAAAGAGTTAAGTTCTGAGAAGTCTATGCATATGTACATGTATTAGACACTTGTATTTATGTATTTCCTATTATACGGGTGCGAAGCATAGACAATCAATAGACAGCAGGAAAGAACAATTGAAGCGACAGAGTTGTGGTTCATAAGACGCATGCTGCGTATCCCATGGACAGCTAGAAAAACAAATGAAGAAGTCTTGATCAAAGCAAATTGCAGAAGACAGCTTATGACGAATATACGAAAGCGATAGGCCAATTTCATTGGACACACAGTGCGAAAAGAAGCATTGGAGAATATCGTAACATTAGGCAAGTTTGAGGGAAAGAGAGTCAAAGGCAGACCGACGGAAAAGATACTAGACAAGTTGACAACATGGCTAGGAGCAGCAAGAACAACAGATACCATTGCTGCAACACAAGACAGATGGAAGTGGAGGTCCATGATCGCCCACGCCAGTCGGCAAGGCATCGGATGATGATGATTAATAAGACAATCCTGGCATAACGTATTCCTGGTTCACCATCATGGAGAGCGCCATTAATTTACTTTTATTTGGAATCAAATAAAGTGCAAAAAAGGGAGAAAGTTGAGTACGTACAAGCATTACATGCACACGTGTGCGCGCACGTCCCCTCCCCACAAACATACACACACACACACACACACACACACACACACACACACACACACACACACAAACACACGCTTTCGTGAGCGTGCATGCATTCACGCATACATACACGCAACACACATACTCATGCCTGCATGTTTGAAAGGGAGTCGTACAAACGTTTATTTACACATGTATTATTATTATTACTATTATTATTATTATTATTATTTTTATTATTATTATTATTATTATGTTGTTGTTGTTGTTGTTGTTGTATGTTGTTGTTATTATCCTACCAATCCGTTACTTAATAACATATTTTGAATCATTATTTCTTACCATTTTCTTTCTATTTTTTAATCTACTGATTCTGTTAAAAAGTAGGAGTTTGGGATGAAACGATGTTTATTATAGTCAAAGATAGTGAATAACAAGATGGGCCAGTCAGCCAAAAAAGTGTCCGCAGGAAGTATGCTCTTTGCTTCAGATGGCGCTGCAGTCTGTTTTGAAGCTCTCTTTCGTTTTTCCAGAAGAAGAATAGGAATAGCACCTCCTTGCGTGCGCAGATCGACTGCTGTTCATCAGCAGTTCGGGTACGTTCAGTGCGGAGTTTTATTTTTTTTATATTTTAATGACCTCTCGCCCTTTCATTCTAAAGTCAAATTAAACGAAGAAAACAATCACCCTTTCCTCCGGAAGAGGTTTTTTGTCAGCGTAACCATTTTAAAAAAGCGTTCTTCCGAAATTTATCCCAAAACTTGCTAGTTTCACTTTGATTTTTAAAAACTCAAGTAGGGTAACTCTGTTCGCAAAGAGTGCGCTTTTGTGAAGAGGGCGCCACCAAATTTTGAGGACACTTTTTTAATTGGCTCAAAGAGAGAAGTGACCCATCTTGTTATGTACTATCATTGTTATAGTCGAGCCTGTTGCAGATATCGATACGCAGTTTTAAAAAATAATTTTCTAAATACAAGTATATCTGTGCTATTAGGACATTTAAATGTAGGGCCTATCAACAGAGAGGAGGGGAAAACTGTTTAACAGCACAAAACAGCAAGAGAACTAATTTTTCATTTGGAAGAGCATACGGATGTCACAAGAGGAATAGAGAAACAACAAGGGCATACTGTAATAACTGAGGAGATGAAGAGTAAAACATATAAACACAAGAAAAGATAAGGTGGTCATCGGCTTCCATGAAAGAAAACGTAAGATTTAATGGATCTGTATGTAAATGTATTGTAGAACGGTTTTTTCTGAAGTGTCAAGAGTAGGTTTGTGATTTGCATTATGCACTTCAATAGTTTATTCCTAATTGATATATCTCAAAAAGAAATCACGAAGTATCGAAACCTTTATAGCCGAAGAAATTTAGTTTTCGTTATATATTCGAATCGCACAAAGACTACCAAAAGAGTCGAGTATTCAAGTTGCTTGCTTGGGTTGGGTCGATTATATTGAGTGAGAAAGGATAATAGGCCTAGAAGAAAAGTAGACCTGAGAGGCATGGCGAACACAAATATTGTCAGCATCCTCACTCTGTGGTGTATTGTGTGCTTTAGCCATGTTTATGCTTTGTACCCAGATCAAGCTGGGTTGTTTGATTGGTAAGTTACATCCCTGCTACGATTAGATCTACTCTTCCTCACACTGGCCTGTTGTGTGTAGGACTGCAGGGTGTCGGCCTCCTTACACACACTACTAGATCTAACCCTAACCGGTACATTTGTCTTGACAGAGCCGACAGCTAGATTCTAGATTTTTCTAAATTTATAGATTAGATTTCTCTAGATTTAGGTCTAGAATCTAGACATTCTAGACTCTAGGTGAAACAACTGTTGCTCCAACTCCCAGTCCAAGTCGTCTCAACTGACTGAATTAGATCTAGAATACTAGCGCGATCGGGCTGGGTCAATTTGATTGGCGAGGCTAGCCATATTGTAATTGAGTTTGAGGATGCAAAAAAGCAGTCATCGTGGTTGTGGCACAAAGCGATCAACTCGGTCGGTGGCCCCCACCCCCCGACTTGAGCTTAAATTGGTACGGCCCCTTAAATTTTGGGCGCTTTTTCGGTAGTTCCCACCCCGCAATTGTTATTCACGGGTTTTGGCCCCAAAAGTAGGGGGGTTTCAGGGGGGCGAGCCCCCCTGACCTAACAAAATAGGTTAGGAAGGGGGGTTTCAGGGGGGCATGCCCCCCTGAATTTTACCATAATTTAATGTTTTGCTGTTGTTAGTTGTTAGGTTTGATATCTTAGCTCACCGCGAATCAAACGTATAGATCTAGATTCTAGATGTAGGTAAGTCTCAAATAAAGGGGGTGGGAACTACCGAAAAAGCACCAAATTTTGCCGACACCTGAGCTGGTGAGGAGGGAAACTTCTCAATTTACCCTGCCAACTCAGTCATGCATTCTCAGATCAGTGTGAATTCTATGCAAATGGTCAAGAAGTTTAACAGTAAGCACTTGTTGGTGAAGCAGGTCCCGTTGTAGGCTATATATTGAAGGGCTGCGGCTATTCGGACTCGAGTCTGAAAAGCCTACCATGGCTATTCGAACTTATAAGTCTGATGCGCGTGTGCAATCACTGGTGGGTGTACCAGATGTGAAGTGGATAAGCAATTCAACCTTGGCCTCCCTCGGTTTCTATGATCTGGCCAAATAATTTTTCGACACAAGGGTATTGGTGATGTCAAAAGTGAACAACAGTTGCAAAATCTGAAATGTGATACGACAAAGGCAAACGGAAAAAGCAGGCAATCTGAGCCCAAAGCAGTGAAAAAAATTGAAAGTCAAAGTTTCAGAACTCGGCAGGCTGTGCACATGACTCACAAAGGAGAAATTATGAAGCTTTTAAATACTCAAAATATAGCAAACTTTTCTCTGACAGAGTCTGTCGCATTGCATAAAAGCAAAGCAACAAACAAATCATCTTAGCACAACATGCTATCACTATCATGGAGCGACGAAAAAGTAAAAAAAGATACAAGAAAGTTATTTTTACTCTATACTATAACGAAGTGTATACAGACCCGGTAACCGGGAACAAAGTCACGAAGTATACAGACCCGGTAAGGGAACTCTTTTGTGATTTCGGAAAGTTTCAGCGCCCAGACCCATTAATGTGTGTGTGTGAGAGAGAGAGAGAGCAGGGGGAAGTGCTAGCAAAATGTATGACATGCCCCAGTTGGCAGGAGGGAACGAGAGAAAGATATAGACGTCTAGTGGGAAATAGGTGGGGAGAAAGAAAGACAGAGACAAACAAAGAAAAAGAGAAGGCGAGCAACAGAGCGAGAGAGAAATAGAGAGGATGACTGCTCGAGAGAAATTATGACATTGTTTTTTTCTTCAAATTGTAATTCCTCCTAACTCCAAAACGGAGGAAAAACGATCGTTCATCGAAAAGACATCCGCAATCTTCATTTAGATCTAGATCTAGGCTAGCCTCGAAACTAGACCAAGGATTTATGTCTGTCTGTCTAGATCTAGATCTAGACCTAGCCTAGGCCATAGATCTACTAGAAGAACCTAGGTCTACCCTGAGCCAAGAGGGCGCTGAAACTTTCCGAAATCACAAAAGAGTTCCCCTACCGGGTCTGTATACACTCCCATACTATAATATCCCAAAGAACTGTGGTACTGGTTTTTAGAATACTTACCAAAATTATTAATGTGTAGCTTTTTATGCATATTGTGTGTGTAATGAGATTTTGTTCAATTGCTGTAATTTTTGTTTTCTAGGAAGCAAGATTACATAGGGAAAGTCAAAGAGCTGCACTGGGATCAGTCCCAATCCTCTGGGAAAAAGGTTCTGGTGGCCTCTGAGAAGAACGTCATTGCCTACGTCAGTGCAAATGATGGTGCTATCGGTGAGGAAGAAAACATTGCTAATTGTGCTTCTGATTCTGTGTTGCTCCTTACTGTGTATAATAATAAATACACTTAAAAACTTTTGTTTAAGAGTAATGAAGATAGTTTTTATATTGCATGATATTGTGTTGTGCTAAAAGTTTTTAAACCATTCTGTGGCATTATGTTTAACTCATTCATTTAGTTAGCTCTGTATTTTTTAAATAATGAATAATAGTAGTTTGGTTATTCAAGCCTTTTTTCTCGCTTTCACTTTCATATTTCATTGTTGTTTACCGATCTTTCTTTCTCCGAGTTTGAGTTTTCTGTGAGTATCTCTTTGCCACTGCAGTGAATTATCTGAAATTAAGATTATATGAAATAATTTCTGTTGCATGATATATATATCTTCTATTGAATGTGTAACAACATTAATTGAAACTTGTCAGTGAGTCGTATCTGGTTCCTTTCTTTATGTTGGTTTTTTTTTTTCCAAATCTGTCATAGTATGGAGGAGGATATTTGAGTCTTCCATAAGAGGGAGGATTGATGCTTTTCTTCATCAAGGAGATGGTAAGTTTTTTACTCTTTTTGTTGGTGGTTTGTTTGTTTGTTTTTTGGTGGTTTGTTTTTTTTGGGGGGAGGGGGGGGGGTTGTTTGTGTGTTCTACTCCTTTTAGTTGAGACAGAAGTAGGTCACACCCCCCCCCCCCCTCGCCCGCCAAGGCAGTGCTACTGACTGAAGTGTCTTAACATTCCCAAAGGGGGGGGGGGGGGATATTAACATGTTCTCATACACAGTAGAAGTGTGAATGGGCTGAAGTACCAAAGTGTTGGTTCTTTTTCCAAAGTTCCCTCTTGGTTCTCAGTTCACATAACCAGCCATCATATTATTCTTTCTAAGTGATGAGTGCTATATGATTTTCCCAATTTCCATTTCTTTATTTTTAGAAATGAAATCCTGATCAAGCATTTACTCTGATACGAAATGGTTGGTCATCAGTCTCATCTTTTAGAATGTGAATTTTTAAATGACGACACTTGAGGATCTAACTGTTTCCATTTTTGTACCCGGAATTAGTAGTCAATTTTGTAGTACCACGAATGAATTAACAATGAACTGTGGGTGGTTGGCGGGTGCTCTGGTGTGGTTTGCTTCTTCTTTCTTATTAAACATCTATCGTCCTTGTTTCCCGTTCTTCTTTTTTATGTTTGTTACTCTCTTGTAACACCTCTAATCTTCTGGCGCTCTTATGACCTTATGCAGTTGCGAGCGCTGTAAAACGTCTACTAAAACTAAAAAACTGCCATGAACTGCTGTTTTATTCTCTTTTTTTTTCCTTTTTTTTTTTCCAGCTTTGATAAGCATCCATGCGGGGGGGCAGTTTGTGAGAAAGTGGCAGGTTGCTTCGGGCAGCTTGCTGTGGGAGAAGAGTCTGACGCAGGACTCCACAAGTCGGTGAGTGTGGGGGGTCGGCAGTTGCTCTGGTGTGGTTTGCTCCTTCTTTCTATTCAAATTCAAATTCTATGATGGTCCTTATCCCTCCTCTTTCTTTTCTTTGTACGTTACTCTCTACATAGCTGCCACTTTCCCGCTAAATAGCGGAAACTCCGCTAGCCTAGGCCATAGATCTACTAGAAGAACCTAGGTCTACCCTGAGCCAAGAGGGCGCTGAAACTTTCCGAAATCACAAAAGAGTTCCCCTACCGGGTCTGTATACACTCCCATACTATAATATCCCAAAGAACTGTGGTACTGGTTTTTAGAATACTTACCAAAATTATTAATGTGTAGCTTTTTATGCATATTGTGTGTGTAATGAGATTTTGTTCAATTGCTGTAATTTTTGTTTTCTAGGAAGCAAGATTACATAGGGAAAGTCAAAGAGCTGCACTGGGATCAGTCCCAATCCTCTGGGAAAAAGGTTCTGGTGGCCTCTGAGAAGAACGTCATTGCCTACGTCAGTGCAAATGATGGTGCTATCGGTGAGGAAGAAAACATTGCTAATTGTGCTTCTGATTCTGTGTTGCTCCTTACTGTGTATAATAATAAATACACTTAAAAACTTTTGTTTAAGAGTAATGAAGATAGTTTTTATATTGCATGATATTGTGTTGTGCTAAAAGTTTTTAAACCATTCTGTGGCATTATGTTTAACTCATTCATTTAGTTAGCTCTGTATTTTTTAAATAATGAATAATAGTAGTTTGGTTATTCAAGCCTTTTTTCTCGCTTTCACTTTCATATTTCATTGTTGTTTACCGATCTTTCTTTCTCCGAGTTTGAGTTTTCTGTGAGTATCTCTTTGCCACTGCAGTGAATTATCTGAAATTAAGATTATATGAAATAATTTCTGTTGCATGATATATATATCTTCTATTGAATGTGTAACAACATTAATTGAAACTTGTCAGTGAGTCGTATCTGGTTCCTTTCTTTATGTTGGTTTTTTTTTTTCCAAATCTGTCATAGTATGGAGGAGGATATTTGAGTCTTCCATAAGAGGGAGGATTGATGCTTTTCTTCATCAAGGAGATGGTAAGTTTTTTACTCTTTTTGTTGGTGGTTTGTTTGTTTGTTTTTTGGTGGTTTGTTTTTTTTGGGGGGAGGGGGGGGGGTTGTTTGTGTGTTCTACTCCTTTTAGTTGAGACAGAAGTAGGTCACACCCCCCCCCCCCCTCGCCCGCCAAGGCAGTGCTACTGACTGAAGTGTCTTAACATTCCCAAAGGGGGGGGGGGGGGATATTAACATGTTCTCATACACAGTAGAAGTGTGAATGGGCTGAAGTACCAAAGTGTTGGTTCTTTTTCCAAAGTTCCCTCTTGGTTCTCAGTTCACATAACCAGCCATCATATTATTCTTTCTAAGTGATGAGTGCTATATGATTTTCCCAATTTCCATTTCTTTATTTTTAGAAATGAAATCCTGATCAAGCATTTACTCTGATACGAAATGGTTGGTCATCAGTCTCATCTTTTAGAATGTGAATTTTTAAATGACGACACTTGAGGATCTAACTGTTTCCATTTTTGTACCCGGAATTAGTAGTCAATTTTGTAGTACCACGAATGAATTAACAATGAACTGTGGGTGGTTGGCGGGTGCTCTGGTGTGGTTTGCTTCTTCTTTCTTATTAAACATCTATCGTCCTTGTTTCCCGTTCTTCTTTTTTATGTTTGTTACTCTCTTGTAACACCTCTAATCTTCTGGCGCTCTTATGACCTTATGCAGTTGCGAGCGCTGTAAAACGTCTACTAAAACTAAAAAACTGCCATGAACTGCTGTTTTATTCTCTTTTTTTTTCCTTTTTTTTTTTCCAGCTTTGATAAGCATCCATGCGGGGGGGCAGTTTGTGAGAAAGTGGCAGGTTGCTTCGGGCAGCTTGCTGTGGGAGAAGAGTCTGACGCAGGACTCCACAAGTCGGTGAGTGTGGGGGGTCGGCAGTTGCTCTGGTGTGGTTTGCTCCTTCTTTCTATTCAAATTCAAATTCTATGATGGTCCTTATCCCTCCTCTTTCTTTTCTTTGTACGTTACTCTCTACATAGCTGCCACTTTCCCGCTAAATAGCGGAAACTCCGCTACATCTAGCGTTTCCCTCAACTTTCCTCCTTCCTCCGCTGGACCGCTCTTGGTCGCAAATTTCATACCTTTTTTTTTTTCCACGCGGAAAACACCGAACCGGGAGAGAGACGAAAACGCGGTTCGCGCATGTCCGCCGTAGCTTTCTACTTCCGTTCTTCTAGGCCCAGCGCTAGTTTCACATTGTTTATTGTTGTGGAGCAACACAGTGTCGATCGGGCATCGGGACGTTAGCGCGCCGAGTTGTCATTGAAATTGGCGGAAATTCGAGAGAAATTGATTCAGAATGCAAAAATAAAAGGAGCTGGAATGAGAAAGAAGCAGCCGGTGTGCGACTTGAAAAGTTCATTAGAAAATTGAACTAGATCTAGCCGTTTTTTGCGAAAGAAATCGCGGCCCGCGGCACTCCTGTGCCTGTGCAATTGCGGTCCCGTTTGTTTACATGACGGCTATTGTGGCTGCTGCGGAAGTGAATCTAGATCTAGATCTAGAAAATCTATCTCTAGATTCTAGATATAATCTAGATCTACCCATGTTTAGATATATGATATCTAGATTAGATAGCCGAGGCTATAATTTTAATTCAGTTTATCTCTAAATAAGAAACACACTACAGGGGCACTAAGTGCAAACGGGACCGCAATTGTACAGGAGTGCCTGCATCCTTGGTCCGATACTGCTCTACGTCTATGTACACGTTTAAAGTGAAAGAAATCTTTTTATGAGACACCAGCTGGCAAAAAACACTAGATTTTTAGTCACCAAGTCCAAACTGTGTCAAATTGACTCGAATGCTTGTTAGTCAACTTACTGCCTTTATGTTGTTTTTTTTTGTCAAATACATTTTAATTCAGTTGCCTATGGTTAACAATATGACTGTTTTCCCTTCCCAAACAGTGGGCTAGATTTTCCAGTATATATTGCCTCTGGATCTCACTGGTTTCGGAGAGCGCGCGTACGCCTTCGCGTGAATTTCCTCCTTTTTATAAATTTCTGAGTGGCAGCTATGTCTCTAGTAACACCTCTAAATCTCCGGTATTTATATGACCTTTTCTGTTTCGAATACTGCGTAAAACTTTTACTAAAACTAAAACTAAAGTTCGTGAACCTTGAGAAACTGTGTTTCAATGTTTGGGTCCATTTGTGTGACTGATTGTTAAGTATTTTGTCAGCAGTCACACTATTAGCTATCCCATTGAAAACGGAAATGCATTCAGATCTAACAACTTTTAAAAGCTAAATTGTGTTAAACTGGATGAAATACTCCTTTATAAGTTATAAAATAGATTCTGCTCTTATTGTCTTATTGAATTCATTGTAAAAGTTTCAAAGATGATGTTTTTATTTTCCAGAGCACAAATTTTGGCAGTTTAAGGGTGTCTTAGCACTGTACTATGAAAATAATGTGTATGATTTCTTCATTTTCCTAATTGTTGGGGTTCTGAGGATGTTTCAGAGATTTTTGGGAAAGAGGGAGGAGGGGAGCATCTTAGTGATAGAATAATAAAATGCTACGGCCAAACACATGATCAGAAATATTACGTGTAACCTACCTGTTAAAAATTAGTACATAGTGTAACAACCGATAGCTTAACATTTGTTCATGCTCTTTTTTCCCCACATGTTATACACACCAAATGCTCAACAGCAGCTAGAACCCAACAAGATGAAGTCTTAATTTGTAGAAGTTTAGTTGGCACATTTTCATGTGAAAAGTTTATTCAGTAATACTACATGGAAGAATAAGTTTGCTGTGTATGTGGTGTCAAGGATCATATTTTAATTAATTTCCTCTAAGGTTGGTGCTTTCTGATTCATTATTGTCCCTCTTTCTCTCTCTCTCTTGCGTTGTCAGGGCGGCCGGATTCTTTATCACGAAGAATGACAAAGGTAAGATTGTAATATTATCAGGACAGAAGTTGTTTCCTAAACATATCAGTACTCATGTGCTTAATGTTTGCTTCGCTTCTTGTTGGAAGCTTGAATTACTGTGGCATTCATTCTCATTAACCAAAATTTTTTTTTTTTTACATTAATTAAGAGTGGGTGGTTGACAGGTGCTCTGGTGTAGTATGCTCTTTCTTTCCTATCAAACATTTTTCATCCATATTCCTCCTTCTTTTCTTTATGTGTTACACTCCAATAACATCTCTAATCTTTGGCACTTAAATGACCTATTTGTGTTTCAAGTGCCTTAAATTTCTTACTAAAATTGAAGCTCTGAATTATTTTAATGATTGAATTGTCGTCATATCTTTTTTTAGTTAACTTTCCATACAGTCTATAATATCTGTCTTTTTTTTTTTTTTTCTTTAAAATATTTTGTCTGCTACACATTTGAAATGTGCCAAGTGAATGGTTGACAGGTGCTCTGGGGTGGTTTGCTCCATCTTTCTTGTGAAAAAAATCTATCGTCCATGCTTATCTCTCCACCTCCTTTTCTCTGTATGCTACTCTTAAGTAACGCTTCAAATCTTCAGCACCTATAATGACCTATTTGTGTTGCAAGTGCTGTACAACTCGTACAAAATATGGGTGATTGGCGGGTGCTCTGGTGCAGTTTGCTTCTTCTTTCCTATCAAACATCTATCGTCCTTATCTCCCCTTCTTCTTTTTTATGTTTGTTACTCTCTCTTGTAACACCTCTAATCTTCTGGCGCTCATATTACCTTATGCACTTGTGAGCGCCGAAAAACCTCTTCTTAAAAATTAAAAAAAATATTTTAAAAACTCTTACAAAACCAAAAGTAAAAGTTTTATCTGCTAAAGTAAAACTTGCTGTGTCTGTTCATCAGTGGATCAAGTTGTGGTCACCACGTCCAGCACGATGCACTGTTTGAGAATCTCTGATGGGATGGAAGACTGGAAGGCAGAGCTGCCCAACAGGTAAGTCGCCATTTGTATCGGCATGGCCTCGCGCCCCCTTGTTATTTTTTGCAGACTCCGGGCAAAGCATTGTATGCAAATTAGATCTTTTGCTTGCATTACGCAAAGTTTATCGGGCAACACAATTTTCGTACATGCACGATCTTTTGCCTTGCGTGGAATCTGCAGCCGCTCCTCGATTCACCCACGAAAACGGATAATTTTGAACCGTAGGCATATTTTTGTTTCCAATTTCATTTAATATTTGCTAGAAATAATTGTTTTACATACCATACATTTGAGCCGTTCTGAAAAGCAATTGAGGCAATAATTTCAATCTGAAGGCTTCATGGCCTAGATTTGGACCTATCTAGATCTAGGTCAGCTCTGTGTAGCGTCAAATCACTGACAGACTCAAGATTTTGCCTGTCTTCGGCAAACGGCAAGTGGGCGCGCGCATCGTTTTTCGTGCCTGTCATCGGGGCGATGATGTCACGAAAACGCATTGCCAGGAACATGCATAAAATTATAGTGGACGTTCCACCTATGCAGTCCAGAAGGGACATGGTCAGAAACAACAGGATCAGAGAAATGGTGGGAACAACACCTGTCCTCCACTGTTTTCGAAGGCAAACAATCAGGTGGTTTGGACATCTCACACATATATATGGCACCTAACCAGCTTGCCAGTAAAGCCTACTACAGGAAAGTATCAGGGTACAAGGCAAGAGGAAGACTAGGAAAGACCTGGATCCAGGGTGTGAAGGATACCCTGACTGAGAAGATACAAATATCCATATCAAATATCCCACCCAACCAGGCCATCAAACTTGCTAAAAACAGGAAGCTCTTTCTCCCCTCAACGCCCTAGAGGTACAAGAGGACGGGTAAAGTAAAGTAAAGTATGTAGTCGAAACTGTCAAAGACAGCCGCCCTTTATAGAAGAGAAAAGTGATTGTCTTAGACAAGTGGCCTTTATGGACAGTGTCGTCCTACTGGAGAAAAAAAGACACTGGAAATTGAACGTAATTTTTACAGGTGATTGTCTTTGATAGTTATCCATAGGAGAATGTTTGGCTGTATTTAGAAATAGTTTTAATGTAATTTTGTTGCTGTTTTATACAATTATGCAACAGACTGTCGGAAACTAAAGCAGCCGGCTTTTAAAAAATTACTATCGACAAAATATTTTGTCTTTTCAGTTTCTTTGTTACGAAACCAGCAAATAAAAACTTATTTTCAGAATGTACACTTTTAAAGGGTTTACTCCTATACTGAAAAGTAATTTTGCAGATAGTATATGGATAAAGAGATGCTGTATTATCGGTGTACTGGTTGAGTGGGCCCCAACATATTTTTTTTTAGGAGCAGCAAAATAAGGTTAAGTCAAACCTGCTCTTATGGCCACCTGAGTAAGACAATCACCTGTACATAAGGCCACTGACTATTTCCTCCCTTGCATGTTTATTACATTGCAATGACTCTGTGTAAGACATCCTCCTGTCTGAGACATTCACCTGTCTAAGACATCCGCCTGTCTGAGACTGAGACATTCACCTGTCTGAGACATTCACCTGTCTAAGACATCCGCCTGTCTGAGACTGAGACATCCGCCTGTGTAAGACATCCACCTGTCTAAGACATCCACCTGTCTAAGACATCCACCTGTCTGAGACACCTAGTGGTTGGGCTACCCGACTCATAATGGTGAGGTTGCGGGTTAGGAGGTTTGAGCCACGGGCCCGACGTTGTGTCCTTGGGAAAGGCACTTTACACAAATTTTCCTCACTTCACCCAGGTGGGGATGGGTACCGGCCATAGACAGCGAAAGATCTTGTCAGCATGTTAGTGTTTTAGCGCCTATAAATGGCCACTTGCACTGTATGCTTCCCAGGAAGTTGAGATTTTTTCAGAATGCTGCTCTCAGGTCTGCTGGGGTAATAGTAAAGATTGTGAAGCGCATAGAGCTTGCTGTTGAGCGGGGATTTGCGCTGTACAAATGCTATCTTATTATTATTGTTTTTATTATTATTATTAACCATTTTTGTGGGTGTTTGGCGGGTGCTCTGGTGTGGTTTGCTTCTTCTTTCCTTTCAAACGATCTATCGTCCTTATCTCCCCTTCTTCTTTTTATGTTTGTTACTCTCGTGTAACACCTCTAATCTTCTGGCACTTATATGACCTTGTGCAGTTGCGAACGCCGTAAAGTCTCTACTAAAACTAACTAATCATTTTTCTCCTCCAAGATGTGTGGCCGTCTCAGACAATCTTGACTGCAGTTGTAAAGCAAATAGAGCATGCTGTAGCGCCTAGGTATGTCCTATATAGATAGAGATACAATTGTCTGGAAAGGAAAGACGTCGTCGCTATAATCAAACAGCCACCGGAACAATCAGTATGGATACCTTGCCGGCTTTGGTGCTGGGGGAAACTGAGCATTTATGGACCTGTCCGGTGTGCAATGACCTTGTTGCCCAGGACAGGCAATACAGGAAGTACAGGTACAATTATTATTATTATTATCATTGAATATGGCACAAGTGGTCCCTGAGGGTTAAGCTGAATCTTCCTCTCCCCCCCCCCCCCCCCCCCCCAGTGACACGATCGAGCGCTGGTACATCCAGGACAGCGGCAGCAGCTACGTGGCTGTGGGCATCTCCCCGGCCCAGCGGGTCACAGCGGTCACTGTCAGTAAGGAGGGATTGGTCAAGCAGCAGAACAACATCCCGGCTCCGTGGATTGCCATTGATACCAGGTATAGATAATCATGTTATTTTTTTTTTTGTATCCCTTGCCCATTTCTATGATATTGACGCCATCTGATTAGTACAAAAATGTGCGTATGAGAATGCCCAATAATGTATAACGTAGATAGATAATCATGTTATTTTTATTATTATTATTCATATTATTATTCATATGTTATTATAGTTTAGTTGTGTTTTTTTAATTACATGTTATAATTATCTTATCAGTATGTGAGTGTTTTCACAACTATAGATGGCAGCTTGCAATATATGCTTGAGGAAATTGGTTTGTTACCCTCTCATATCACTTCTAACCTGTGGTGCTTATATGCATGTGATCTATTTGTGGTGCAAGTGCCGAAATGCTCTCCCAACTAAAACTGAACAAAGATTCTCTTACTTTCTCCCCTCACAGCTGTGTAATAATGGAAGACAGCAAACACTTTGTGTGCTACGCGCCTCAGACGAGCTCGCTCCAGCTGTTGTCACTGGACAACGGCAAAGTTTTCCTGCCCACCAACTTGAACGTAAGTACAGAGCCGACAGACAATCAACCGGTATGGGAAAAAAAAACACCAAAAAAAACACATTTAATTTATTTTTTAAGGGTCTAAGTTTGGAAGTCGGTTTTGGGTTGTTTTTTATTGGGGGGGGGGGGGGGGTATAGAAAAGTATGTATTCTCAGTTTTCTAGTATTGCATCCTCACAGACTTGCTCATGATGAAGGAAAATTGTCAACTCAAGAACCGGATGTGTGAACAAAAATGAGAATGAAGCCCATGAGTCAGTTAAATGCCTAATGATCGCGGGCAGTATTGCATACAGACGTATCTCAAAGGCCGCCAAAAATGACTTACGTCTGTATGCAATACTGCCCGCGTAATGATGATAAAAATAGTAGGTTGCAATAATATAGCCCATATCCCGTTGTAAGAATAGGCTCTATGTGCTTTACAATGTAAGAATAGGCTCTATGTGCTTTACAATGTAAGAATAGGCTCTATGTGCTTTACAATTTATTTTACCTGGATAAACCTGGGTATATCATTTTAGAACATTCTCACGATAGGCCATTGTTTACATTTTATACCAAGGTTTTCTCATAATTTGCATTTTCTGATGTTAAAAATGATAGTTTGATGTAATTCGGGTGCTCTGGTGTAGTTTCCTCCTTCTTTCCTTTAAAACATCTATCATCCTTATCTCTCCTTCTTTTTTTGTGTTTGTTACTCTCTTGTAACACCATAACACATCTAATCTTTGGCATGTGTATGTCTCCTTGTGATGCAAATGCTGTAAAATGTAAAACTATAACTACATTTGTTGTGTTATGATGCTGTATTATAAGGTGTCCCTGACTGGGTTTTGAAAAAGTTAGCGAGCCTAAAGCTGTGATGGTTATTTCCCCATGTTGTCTGTGGCACTGATTGTATTTCCCTATGTTGCCTAAGGCTGTGATGGTTATTTCCCCTTGTCGTCGGTGGCAGGAACTCGATGTGGAGACGTCCGCTGTGTCCGGCATCGAGGCGGTGGTGCCAGAGCTGGGCTCAACCATTCTGTTCCGCTCCAAGGCCGACTCTCTGGTCCTGATGTCCCGCACGTCCCCGCAAGCGTTCAGCGTCTACAAGGCCATGGATAAGGTAATATCTTGTCGCTGATGTGATTAGATAGGCTTACTTGTAAAATGTTGAAATAGATTTAGTTGTTTTGTAATCTTCAAAAGTAGGTCTTAACATGGATTTGATTTTGTTCTCACATTTACAAACTTACCACGTCTATCATTATATACATTTCATTCTTTTTCCACTATTTGAGGTTTTTTAAATTCAAGACAATGTATTTTTGGTATTATAACATTCTCTCAATTTATTGTGAATGCAAAGATTTTTGTTGCTAGCCGGTAAAAAAATATTCTGAAATTTTAGCATAGATTCTACTCGTACTTCACTTTTGTTTAAACTAAAAGCGAGAAGTGATCTTTTTTTTTTAACCAGAAAGCTAAAGGTCTTTTCGAAAAGTTCTAGCTAATCCCGATTTTTTTAAAAGAAAAATGTTCTCATGGGAAAACAATTATTTTGGTTCCAGACGTATGCTGCTCAAGTAATGGTCCATGCCGAGAAGCCGATTGTTCTCAGCTTGGCCCGAGCTGATGCCGAGGTAAGACACAATTTGCTAACCAATGCGTGGTAAGAAAGTTTAGTACAATGAGTAAGAACTATTATAAAATAATTGTGTATATTATTTGTTTGGGGTTTTGTGTGTGTATGGGGGGGGGGGGGGGGTCGCTTGCTTCAAGCTGTGATGATGAATGGACAGGATAAGACTTTCAGATGTTGGTTGTTTTTTCTTCAGAATTTACCATTGCTCTTTCTTTCCTCAGACTCTGCTGCTGAGCGGCACAGACCTGCAGGCAGAGACTGACATCCCGGAGTTGTCCCAGCGCATTCCGTTTGCTCACTATCACGGAAGTCCTCTCAAAGTATGTGGGTGGTTGGCAGGTGCTCTGGTGTGGTTTGCTTCTTGTTTCCTATCAAAGATCTATCGCCTTTATCTTCCTTTTTTCTTTTTTGCGTTTATTACTCTCTTGTAGCACCTCTAATCTTCGGCACTTATATAACCTTATTGTGCTGCAAGTGCCGTAAAACGCTTACTATAACAAAAAAAAGTCAAAGTATGTCGTCATATGTCAGTTGTAAATCTTTGTGGGTGGGTGTGGTTGGTGGGTACCGCATATGCTTTTAAAACTAAATTAAATTTATCTTTTCCTGTCTTGGAATCGAGCCCTTACTTTTGCCTGCAGAGAAAAGGGCTTAACAGTATCCCCACAAACGCTTGTGGCTTTTGAATCTGTTCTGGTTGTCCCGTGCCAGACCGTGTTCTCGTAGTTTACAATGGTGGATTCTATAAGCAGGCATGACAGATAAAGTCAGAAGTCTCTGATATTTTGGGGTACGTCGGAGAATCCCTATGAGATCGGCAGATAATCCAATTTTTTTCTTGAATTCTGTTTCCATCAATTCGTGTGTATTTTATTCGTAAACAACATGGAAAAAAACAACGTATATTGCGTTTATGTGCATGTTATGTAATCTTAATCTACCGGGGTTCTGGAGACTGATTTTTTTCCCCAAACTCCCGATTTTCTGAGAGTTTTTTTGTTGTTTTTTTCAGAAAACTCTATTTTTTGACAGTGGAGTGTTTGGCAGGTCTGCTTAAACCAAATTCAAATTTGCTTCTTTTTTTTTTCCTGCAGATGTTTCCATTCCTGTTCTCCAAGAAGAAAGACAGCAGCAACCGGCCCGGCTGCAAGCTCATCTTTGCCGCAGAGGACTATTCTCTGCATTTTGCTCAGAAAAGTAAGAAGGCCGTGTCTTAGGCTGAGTTGTGTTTTTGTTATTGTAAAGTGTTTTACGGCGCTCGCAACTGCATAAGGTCATATGAGCGCGCGGGACACACCTAATATTTTCAGTTGGTAGGAAATTTTGAATTTTGCCCGGGTGGCGGCCGAAGCCTACTCTTATTGATTTTAGACCACCAAGGGATCTTTAACGTGCGCAACTTGCACACGGGCCCTCCGAGATTTTTCGCCCTTGTCCGAGAAGGCTAGGTGTAGATCTTTCCTACCAGAAGATCAGGGGTGTGACAGAAAGACAGCAATAAGGAGGAGCCAAGGAGTAGCAGTAGAAAGGCTGCAGAAAGAGTCAGGAGCCCAGAGGAGGGGGCAAAGGAGGTGAGGGGGTGGGGGCAGAAAGTGGAAATGAAAGCAGACAACAGAATATTGCTAGAGAGCAGGAAAGGAGGCAATTTTAGAGAAGAAAATTTTTCGGTCGCTACCCGGATTCGAACCCGGGACCTTTGAATGAGAGGCCAACACCTTAACCTCTTGGCCACGAGAGCCCCCGATTGAGTTGTGTACAAGTTCTGGAAACAGCTTCTTCGTCTTTATTTTTTATTATTTTTTTTTTTTCTTTAAAAATTTTTTGGGGGGTGATTTGTGCCTTCTGTCTAATCAAACATTTATCGTCCTCATCTCTCCTCTTTCTTTTATTTTGCATGTTACTCTCCTGTAACACCTCTAATCTTAATAATAATAATGATAAATAGCATTTGTATAGCGCATTCCCCGCTCAACAGCAGGCTCTATGCGCTTTACACTATATTATTACCCCAGCAGACCATAGAACACTCCGAAACATTCTCAGCTTCCCGGGAAGCATACAGTGCAAGCAGCTGATTAAGCATTTCCTTGACCTATTTGTGTTGCAAGTGCCGTAAAACTCTTGCTAAGAAAACCCCTCAACTGTTTGTCCCCAGACAAGGCAGCGTGGAGGAGGGAGGAGGCTATGGCCTACATCCTGGGGGTACACATGGTCGACCTGCCCGTCTCGGAGAACCAGGCCAAGTTTGAGGACGAATTTGGAGCGAAAGAAGGTAACAATCTGTCAATGTGGGTGATCGGTGGCCGTTCTGAGTGCTCCTTAATTGTTCCTGTCCATCTTTCTGTGGTTTGCTCCTTTTCTCCTGTCAAAAATATTCTTCCTAATCATTTCTCCTTCTTTTCTTTGTATGTTACTCTCCAGTAAAACGTATAATCTAAGGCACTTTTATAAGACCTATTTGTGTTGCAAGTGCCCATGCCATGAAAGTGTGACTGAGTTTTGATGTGAGATTGAAAAGCTCGATCAAATGACTATTCTTTTAGTTTAAGCAAAATGTTTTCTTTTTATTCTATAATTAACCAAAGGACTTCTTCATCTTTTCTCACATTCAGAAAATCTCCCAGCGATGTTCCTGAAGAGGTTCCAGGCCCAGTTCTCCCAACTGAAGGTAATTAATTTAATCCTTGCAGTAGCAGGTTATTTTTAGCCTTCACTTCCCTGAGGCCTAGGTAATTCTGTAATCATTGACAACTCAGGCCGTGGGTGGTTGGCGGGTGCTCCTATCAAACATTGATCGTCTTTATCTCCCCTCCTTTTTTTGTGTTTGTTACTCTCTTGTAAAACCTCTAATCTTCTGGCGCTCATATGACCATATGCAGTTGCAAGCGCTGTAAAACCTCTACTAAAACAAATCTTCGTCACTTATATGACCTTATTGTGTTGCAAGTGCCGTAATACTCTTACTAAAACAACTCAGGCCTGATAATACTGATTGTGTCTACAAGTTTTTGCAGAAGTCATACGAATTTCTGAACTGCTTTCATTTGAAGTTTTAAAAGTTAGTGCGTAGAATATTTTTCAGACATATTTCTCCTTCTTTACAAAAATTTTTTTTTTTGTGTTGTCTGCAAAGACTTTTATCCCAGTCTATAAGATAGTTGGCTGATATGGCCAGTAGTCTTTTTTGTTGTAAATTTAAAACTGTTCACTGCCTTGGCTTTGGGAAAGGTTTATGCGTTCTTTTCATTTGTTTACGTTGTTGTCGTTGTTGTCGTCTGCCCTATCAGATGTGTGGGTGGTTGGCGGGCGCTCTGTTGTGGTTTGCTCCTTCTTTCCTATCAAACATCTATCGTCCTTATCTCCCCTTCTTCTTTTTTATGTTTGTTACTCTCTTGTAACACCTAATCTTCTAGCGCTCATATGACCTTATGCAGTTGCGAGCGCCGTAAAACCTCTACCAAAACTAAAACCATCAGATGCTTACGTTATCGTTGTTGTTTTGTTTTCTTCTGCCCCGTCAGATTATCGTCGTTGTTTTTGTCTGCTCCGCCAGATGTTGGCGTTACGGAAGTTTACGTTATCGTTGTTGTTGTCGTTTGACCCATCAAATGTTTACGTTATCGTTGTTGTCTTCGTCTCCCCCGCCAGATGTTTGCCAAGAACTTGATGAGCCGCATCCAAGGTCACACGCACCACCACTCGGTGGCCATGGAAGCGATAGAGGAGGAGGAGCCGGAGGAGGAGGATCTGATCCGAGACGACTTTAACCTGCACAAGATCATTGTGGTGGCCACAGCTGCTGGGAAGGTGGGCGCAATTTTTTATTTTTTTTTATTTTTTGTGTACACCAAGGCCCCAAGATCTGGAATGCTTTACCAAGTACCTTAAGAGAGATCAGATCTTTTGATTCATTCAAATGTCAGCTGAAGTCGTTTCTGTTTTTAAATTAATAAGATGGGTATTTGGAGTGATTTTCTTTTAGTCAGAACACAACGTTTTATGTTACTGTTTGTACTGTATTGTAAAGCGCCCAGAGCCTGTGTACTTTAATCGGGGTTGAGCGTTATGTAAATGCCATTTATTATTATTATTTAATGAAGATGTTTTTATACTCTCATCGACATAATTTAGGTAATATAGGAGGCGAGCTTCCAACCCTGCCTGTCAGGGCCAACCCGGGTTGAGAGGGATACAACATCACGGCAGAAAGACTGAGATAGTCAATGAAAATATCGCCTCGCTCAAAAATCTTCCTGGATAGTTCAATTGATTAAATGTTTTTAGCGTGTTATTTTATTTTATTTTTTCCTCACAGATCTACGGTATCCGGAGCCACACTGGCAAGATTGCCTGGCAACAGTTTGTGCCGACCCTGACCCCGTTCCAGCGGCGTGGCGAGCAGAAGCTGATGGTGGTGGTGCAGAGAACCACGGCCCACTTCCCCCATGAGCCTCAGTGCACCGTGCTGGGTGTGAGCCAGGTACTGGCTGCTTGCTTTTCATGATACCCCCCGAGGCGGTGCCACTGACTGAAGTGTCTTTAGGCCATTCCCAAAGGGGGGACATTTCTCGGTCTAATGCACAGTAGAATTGTAAATGGGCTGATTTAACAATGTTATGCTCATAACTGTACCTGAGCTTCAACAGGGAACTGCTGCTTTTTCTTTCCTAATCCTTACTATCGACATTTTTTCCTCTACTTCTTTTGTATGTTTGTCACACTCTTGTGACCCACTATTTCCGGGGTGCCTTGATAGTCGAAGCAGACTTTGTGCTGTTGAAGCTAGTAGAGAGGCGAGCAGAGTAAGTCTGATTCCCTGTATGGACTTCTCTGTTGACATCCGCTCCTTGGCGCTCATATGACCTTATGCCGTTCCGAGCGCCGTAAAACCTCTACTAAAACTAAACTGATGATGATGATTATGATAGCAATAATAGTGATGGTTATGATAATTATGATAACACTTATATTGGGCATATTAATGAGCTACAGCAAGCTCTATACGCTTTGCAACTGTTAACCGATAATGAAATAGTCTTGACAGTGTTTTACTCTGACCATGTAAATGTTTTTTGTTTTTTTTTGGGGGGAGGGGGATCTTTCTTTGTTTTAGTTGTTGTGTTGTTGTTTTTTAATCTTTCAAAACATATCCTGGATAGATCGGTCCCATAATTGAATATTTCCGCATGTTACTTCATGTAAGATTCGACCTAAAAATGTTAAGTCTTCAGCGCACACTAAAAAGAAATCTTTCTTGATTTTAAAGGAAAATAATCAGAAATTGTGCAAAAAATGATCAAATTTTGCTGAATTATGCGGGGTGCATAAAACCACGGGGACAGTCATAATTCCTTGGTATGGATTTGTGCAATAATAATTCCTCCCTAAATTTTCCGCAGAAAACGGGCAATGGACTGTTGGTGTCCTTGAACCCCGTCACTGGAGCTTTGCTCTCGGGCCATACGTCAGAGGGATTTGACCTTGGCTACAAGGTGGTCCAAGCAGACATGTTGGCAGAGATGGATTCCGATTTCCTGAAGGGCATCATTCTGATTGATGAAAATATCCAGGTAGGTGAAAAATCTGTAATGTTTGTTGTTGATTCAGGTTCGACAGAATTGTGAGACACATGTTTCCCGATGCTGTGCCTCCCCCCCACCCCCCCGGGCTGAAAATCAACGCTGGTGTCAAATTTGTACACTTTCAGTTGATGCCATTTTCTGTAGGTTAAACTTGTCTATTACGTGCATCGCTTACCCAGGAGAAATTTCACTTCAAGAAAGAAGTGATTTGCTTACACTTTTTATCTACTCATTGAGGTGGCAAGAAATCACAGCAAAATTCTTTTCTAAAAAATCATGTGTTCGAAATTGACAGTTTAATTATTCTCACTATATTTGATGGAACAGATAGTATTTATATATGCTGTGATTTGCGTTCTGTGAAATTAGTGTTTTATTTCAGTTTTTGTTTTGTTGGGGGAGGGGGGTTTTCTTTTGCATTTTGTTTTGTTTTTTATTTGTTTTTTGTTGGGTTTTTTTACCCTGCCCAATTCTATCATCTGGCGCTTTTGTGTTTAATAATTGAGGGTTTTTTTTGTTTTGTTTTTTAAATTTATTTTATTCTAATTCTTTTTTATCCCCTTGATTTTCAGCCTCACGTATACCCCAAGTCCAGTATGTCACTGCTGACAGAGGCGAGCATGCAAATGTACTTCCATCTGCTCGACCCCGAGGCTGGGACCATGACCGGTTACAGGTGGGCTATTTTTGGCATTTTCCTTTTCTCACCGAGTAAACTGGGAGTTATGTTCTCCGTGGGTGGTTGGCAGGTGCTCTCAGTGTGGTTTGCTTCTTCTTTCATGTCTGTCATCTATCGCCCTTATTCATCGTCTTTTTTTTTTCCTGTGTATTATGTTTCTGTCTAGGTGGGTGGTTGGCGGGTGCTCTGGTGTGGTGTGCTTCTTCTTTCCTATCAGATGTCTATCGTCTCTATCTTTCCTCCTTCTTTTTCATGTTTGTAACTCTCTTGTAACACCTCTAATCTTCGGCACTTATATGACCTGATTGTGTTGCAAGTGCCGTAAAACTCTTGCTAAAACTAAACGAAATCAGTGAAGCTAGGAGATATCTATGGAAATGAAATGTACTTTTATATAATATTTCTAGTGGTTTTACTGTTTGCTTGATTTTTCCCCCACAACTTGACTGTGGGGATTCTGACCCCCCCCCCCCCCCCCCCCCTTTCTCCCCACCCTACCTCTCCTACTCTTACAACACTATTCCCGACCTCAGTGCTTTCTTGTCCTGTCTCCATTTTTAATAACGGTGAAAACAATTCATAACAAAGAGTAAGCTTAAGAAGAAGTCACATTATCACTATTTTAGAACATTTTTTTCTCTCACCGCTATTTCAGACTGCTGCCTGGTGGGACTAAAGGTGTGGCTATCGAGCAAGTCTGGAACCTTGACCTTCAGAAGTCCCAGCAGACGGTGACTGGAGTCTACAAGAAGAGAGCCATCGGTGGGTGCTGGCTCAGTGCTCAGTCAAGTCGTTGTAGTTCTTTTCCTTCTCTCTCTCTCTCTGGGTTTTGCTGTCTTTCTTGGCTTTTCTTTCTTTCTCTCTAGGTGCTGTCCATCCACTTTACTTATTGTCCTTATCTCTCCTTCTCCTTTTCTTTTTTTAATACTACTCTCTAGTAACACCTCAAATCTTGAGCATATATATGACCTAATTGCGTTGCAAGTGCCATAAAACTCTTTCTGTAACTAAAAAAAACCCAACTTCATCCACATTTCTTCCTTTGTATCCTGTTGCTGATGGTCTCTCCTTTCATTTCAAAACACATCCACTCCCAGGAACTAAACACAAACTTATCCTCAGTTACTTCCCCTTGTAGCTAGTCACAAACGGTATGTCTCTCCTTGAGTTTCAAAGCACATCCAATTCTGGGGACTAAAACTGACCTCATCTTCAGTTACTTCCTTTGTAACCTATAACATTGACGGTACGCCTCTCCTTGAGTATCAAAACACGTCCACTCCCAGGTACTAAAAACAACCTCATCCTCAGTTACTTCTTTTTTAACCTCCCACTAACGGCATATGTCTCTCTGCCTCCTTTTGTTTCAGAACACGTGCACTCCCAGGGCCGAGTGTTGGGCGATCGCAGCGTGTTGTACAAATACCTCAACCCCAACATCGTGGCCATAGTCGCGGAGGGCGAGGAGCCGCCCGTCACTCAGGGCAAAAGTAAGAGAGTTTTTCTTTTTGATTACATAAAAGTATGATTGTGTCCTTGGGGAAAGGCTCTTTACCTGTCCCCATGGTTTTATACACCCCGCATAATTTAGCAAAATTTGATCATTTTTTGCATAATTTCTGATTACCGGATATTTTCCTTTATCATTCATTGTTAAAATTAACGGAATCGCATAATTTCACATTTTTGGGCTCAGTTTGCATAATTTCAGAATTTTTTTTGCACAAAATTAGGGGGACAGCTTTACATGAATTTTCGTCACTTCGCCCATGTGAGAATGGGTACGTGGCTATAGAAAGTAAAAGATCTGATCAATTTGTTGGGTGTTTGAGTGCGGGAAATCCGCAGCTTGCACAGCATGCTTCCCGGGAAGCTGAGAATATTTCGGAGTAACACGGGTCTTCTGGGGGTATCAATAGCCGTAATGCAGTATATTTATTATATGTGCACATATGGTCGCTTTTAACACTTCGCCGCCTCATCTCGCCAACTGGCGATGTTTACCACCCAGTTTCTTTGGATTTTCCCCAAAATATGATGGCAAAGTGTTAAGCACAAGGGGGCTATCCCGAAAAATGCTGTTTTGACAAAATTAAAGGTAAAGTTTTTTACTTTTTGTTCAGTTTCTTTATGAGACAAGGAGAGTTTTCTCAATAACCAAACAAATATACGCACCTATGAAACCAAACTTCTCCTATAGGTAGGGCTATGCCCACTTTTGGTATAGGTCAAGATTTCTGGAAACCCCCGAAATCTGGGTCAGCCCGCTTGTCCTTAAAAGCTACCATATATTGAATTATTAATAATTATTGTCATTATTATCGTTATTATTAGTGTTATTATTGATATTATTTTCCAGATCCATCCGCCTTCTTCGCCTTGTACCTCGTTGACAGTGTGACGGGTCACATGGTGTACCACCAGACACACAAGCGGTCTCGTGGCCCGGTGCAGCTGATCCACTCAGAGAACTGGGTCGTGGTGAGTCGTTTGTGGCAGTCTGCGAGTAGAAGATTTGTGTTCTGTAACGACCGAAAGATCAGCACGAGCACAGACATACATGCACACACGCAGGCCCACGCACGCTCACACATACCCCCCGGGGCTATGCTACTGACTGAAGTGTCTTTAGGCCATTCCCAAAGGGGGGACATTAACATGTTTTTGTGCTCAGTGGAATTGTAAATGGGCTGATTCATCAATGTCATGCTCATACTGTGCCTGAACTGCAACAGGGAACTGCTGCTTTTTCTTTCCTAATCCTTACTATCGTCATTTTTCCTCTACTTCTTTTGTATGTTTGTCACTCTTTTGACCCACTATTTCTGGGGTGCCTTGATAGTCGAAGCAGACTTTGTGCTGTTGAAGCTAGAGAGGTGAGCAGAGTAAGTCTGATTCCCTGTAAGTAAGGACTTCTCTGTTGACATCCACCCCTTGGCGCTCATATGACCTTATACAGTTGCGAGCGCCGTAAAACCTCTACTAAAACTAAAACTAAACTGAAAGATCAGGGCACGCCCACACGCCCCCACACACACACGCCCACACACACACGCACGCACGCACACACACACACACACACACACACACACACACACACACACTTACTCGTGACCCATGCAGCAGATCTACTTAGAGTACTGGATGTGATGAGTCATCGCTGGTAGCTTGCATTTAGAAGATTTGTATTTTGGGACTGAAAGATCAGCACACAGATGCGTTTGCCCAATGGTCTATCCATCCGTCCATCCATGCCATCGGTTCATCTGTCCATCCATCTGGCTATCTGTCCATTCATCCATCCATCCATCTATCTGTCCACCCATCCATGTAGCCATCCATCCATTCACCCATCCATTCATCCATCCGTCTATCCACTCATCTCTCCGTGCAGTACTCGTACTTCAACGAGCGGTACCGCCGAAACGAGATCGCGGTGCTGGAGATGTACGAGGGCAAAGAGCAGAGCAACTCCACAGCCTTCTCCTCCTTCTCCCCCCCGTCCCCTCCCCTGGTGCTCAGACAGTCCTACATCTTCCCCGAGCCAATCTACGCCATGGAGTCCACGGTCACCGAAAAGGGCATCACCAGTAAAAACATCATCGGTAAGTTCAAAGTTAGTTACGCTATTTTTCTAAATTCCAAGGAGTACTGTATCAAGGAGATGCTTGAGATATAGTACTCCTTGCTAAATTCCTAAATTCTCGGGCTTACCTGCTCAATATTTCATTTGTGAGATGTGCTGACAAATTGTGTTACTTCTCGTTATTGATATTGTGTTGTCATTATGAATTTCAACCACTTTTTTTTTAATATGAATAAATTGTTCTCTCAATTTAATGTTTTGTTTCCACCTTTTTAGCACACTTCAGAGATGGAAATTGAATCATTCTTAGCTTAGTGTGACCTTAAGAGTTGTGACTTCATTACATCGTAGTCTTGGACGATAGGAGTGTCCAATGAACTTGCCCCTACCTGAGTGAACGGTCCCAGTGTCCAATTACATGACAGAGTGCGTGAAGTATTACGGCGAATGCGATGTCTTACGAATCCGAGCAGGTTTAATATGACCCTGAAGTGTTAGATGGATATATAGACTACTTCCTCTTTCACTTTGACCCAATTCTAGCCATTTTATGAACATTTTTCATGCGTACCTCGTGTTACGTATTTCTGGGGAAAAAAATCCATCAAAATGTGGAAAATAATTCCAAGTATGAAGAAGAGTTAACCATTTATTTGTCTGCTTTTCAGTTGCCCTCAAAATTGGAGGAATTTTGTCTCTGCCAAAGGCTCTTCTTGACCCTAGAAGGCCCGTCATTCCCACACAAGAGACAATGTAAGTAGCTATTCTTATGTTGTCTGGGCTAACACCTGTTGGGGGGCTAAACATTTTTGCAAGTAGAATGATTATAGTAAATGATAGTAAAAACTGGCTTGCCGACTGCCCTGAATTTCCAGGGGCTCTCCTGCATTTGACTGTCAGGAATGTGAGAGCCTTATGGTCACGTACACACAACACCAGAACAAGTCCCACCTGATGTAATTCTGTTTGTTGTCACGTAATCTGAAGTTGTAATATTGGGTGTCCCCGACTGGGGTTTGGAAAAGTTTTGCAAGCTTGTAAAAAATTGCGTTTATATAGCTCATCCCCATGCTCTACAGGCTAAAACTGGACATGGACATGGATGGCTGGTGCCTCCATAAATAAATCATTGATGGTCAAGGCCCCATCCTCTACGGCGTGCTCTCTGTGCTGTACAATAATCATTACCCCAGCAGATCCTAGAACACGATTCACATTCTTGGCTTTCTAGGAGGTGAACAGTGTGAGCGGCTGTTTTAAGCGCTAAAACACAAACAAACCCCCGATGAACGGGATAATAATATATTAATAGATTGCATTTATATAGCGCTCTATACCATACTAGTATAAGCTCTGAGCGCTTTAAACCAATCACATAATCGTTCACGCTAGAAAAAAATATTTCACAGAAACAAGAAAAAACAGTTCAACCACAGAAAGAAGAACTTTCACAACCATACATTAACTATATACACGAAATGACGCAGAAAAAAAAAAACAGCACTTACTAACACACTATAACTAACAATTAAACAAGTGATTTAGGTCATTTAAGAGGCAGCTGATTCTTACCGGCTTGTCATGGAAATGCAGGCTGTGTATCTCCGCAGAAAGATGGAGATATTTAGTGAAATGTTGTCCCTGGGGAATCGAACCTACATTTCTGCCCACTGAAGGCAAGGGGCCCTAGGAAGTGGGAGAAACTGTCATGTATGTAAAAGTCAGTTACACTACGGGTTGAAGAACCAGCAGCCGACTATCTCTGAGATCTAGCAGGGGAATGCAAAGAAGAAGAAAAATTCCCAAATTTACATCTTTGCATTTGAGATTATATGTGCCACGATGCGGTGAAATCAGGCACTCGTCAGTTGTTGAGTATATGGAGTTATTGGTATCATCTTTAAGGTTGCTTATTTGCCTTGCATTTGATGGAAAAAAATATCCATTTATCTTGAATAGAAGTCGAGATACTTGAGATTGAAAAGGAGGTGGGGTCGCCTGGTTTCAGAAGTAAAATTGGCAAGAAAATGGTCGCCAAAGTTTGGTGACTTCCATAGCTCAGAAGTCCTTGGAAACTGCAAATTTTCAGTTTTCGTGCCTTTAATCAAATTTTTTACATAAAATTCACCCATAAGAATGTTTTTGAATGGACACACAAGATGTTGAGTCAAAAAATTAAAAATTTGATAAAAATTGCCAAACCAGCATGAAAAATGCCGGTTTCTTCAATTTCATTATTTTGACGAGTGCCTGATTTCACCACGATGCCTCACATATTATGTTTCACCCTTTCTCTGATGTTTCGTTCCGTGTGTCCACCACAGGGAGGAAGGAACGATCCCGTACGTGCCAGAGATCGGTCTGAGCACGGAAGCTTTGGTCAACTACAACCGTAGCGTGTTCAACGTGGATGGAGTGTTCACCTCACCCGCCGGCCTCGAGTCTACCTCTCTGGTGTTTGTCTACGGAATAGGTCTGTACCATTAGTAGTTTAGTTTAGTTTTTTTTACCTTATCCGTACATCGTGTTTTACTATCTTATCCATACGACGTGGGGAACTCTGTGCAACCACTTTTCAAAGAGGAAATTTACTCGTTAATCCGATCCGTACGCTTTGCATAGTAGTCTGTCAAAATGATTTTTTGAGAAATACTGAAAGTTTCAAAGAGGTCTTCATATTAGAAGTATTCTAAAATGTAAAGAATACTACCGTGGGGGTACAAAATGACCCCAGGGCGTACGGATAGGGTTAAAGAGTTTGACTGCTTGTGCATCACAATTAAGTCATATAAAGCTCTGAAGATTTACGGTGTTACTACTAGAGAGTAACATATAAAGAAAAGAAAGAGGAGAGATGAAGACAATAGATATTTGATAAGAAAGAAGGAGCAAATGACGCTAAAGCACTGGCCAATCACTCATCAACCATAGATAAGACAAGATGAACTGTGTTGATTTTGCTGTTGGAGAAACTGAGAGTGTGCGTAAAACAGCAGCAGAATATGTGGCCCTGGCATTTTGACAAAGCTGAAATAGACATGCACACAAACACAAAAATTTGTTCACTTACACACTAAAGGCATTTTTCGAATGCAATTTCTCACAGTGACAGAGGTTGTCATATTATTGTTCATTAACTTGAATTTAGGGACTTTTGCAAAATGGAAGGGGGAAAAGTCCTGGTGTTTTGTTTTGCAATTTATAATGCTGAATGTCGGAAACTCATGTGCAAAATTTAAATTTTTTTCTATCTTAGAAGCTATAAATTTTATCACATTTCTAACCACGTTTTTTGGTGTGTTTTAGAGGTTTTTAAATTCCATCACATCTATAACCACATTTTTGGGGGTGTATTTTAGAGGTTTTGAATTCCATCTCATTTATAAACACATTTTTAGGTGTATTGTAGAGGTTTTGAATTCCATCTCATTTCTAACCACATTGCTTCTGTTTCTTTCCAGACGTGTTCTACACGCGTGTTATGCCGTCCCGTATGTTTGACGTGCTAAAGGAAGACTTCGACTACGTGTTCATCGGTGGCGTGCTGGCTCTGATGATCTTCGTGTCGTTCCTTACACAGAAGCTGGCCTCGCGGAAAGCCCTCAGCCGTGCCTGGAAGTAGTGCGGTGGGGAGATGCTGGGCTCGGGGGTGCCTCCCCCCCTGCCCTCTCTCAGTGTGTGCCATGTTGTCGCCCCCAACCCCCCCACCCCCTGGGGGTGTACTACTACTGGTGTTGTCCTCAGCTGGCGCGCATGTGTGAGTGTGCATATGTGTGAGTGCGTATGTGTGTGTGTGTCTTCTCAACTGCAATGTGTGTGTGTATGCATGTGTGTGTCTGCGTATGTGTCTTCTTCCTCTGGAAAACATGTAACTGTCCCAGTGAGAAGCTGGAGTCCATTTCAGGAAAGGTAGAGAATAAATGGCATACATTCATGTGAACATGTTTTATTCTGTTTTTATTCCAAAGCCCTTTGATGGTATTTTTTTTTTAAGAGCAAGAGTATATCCTGTAGCGTAGCTTGACTTGTTGGACAAAATGTAATGTGTTTGTGTCGGTGCTGGCGTGAGCTGAAGCATCTGTATCGAGTGATGGTGCCAGATTGTTGTCTTTCGTAGCTGCCGACAAGTAAGCATTAAAAAAATGTGTTAAATACATTTTTAAAGGGTTTGAATTTGGAAGTCCGTTTTTGTATCGGAATATATATATATACGCATTCTCTATTATTCTCGTATTGCTCCCCGTTGATTTGCTGATGCTGAAGAAAAATTAGGACTTTTCTTTCTAAGACCAGATTTGTGAACAGTAATGAGAATGATGAAGTCCAAAAGTCAATTGCAGAGGTGTTTTGCTGCAGGTCTATTTTGAATAGCGTGAATTTATTGAGTGGAGAAAAGTGTGTGTGGAAGGTTTGGACAGAGGTTACTTGGCCACTGCCCACCATCATGTACCACTGCATGGGTAGGATCTGTTTTTCTGGAGTTTTGAAAAGTTGGCAGCTGTGGGTTTTTTCTCTGAACTTTCACTGCAGAGGAGGCATCAGTGTTGTAGTTTGGAGGTACGGTAAGACTTGGACTGTCAGGGCTTTGTGAAAGTTTACTTGTAGTGTGCATGTATGATTTAGTCATAAGAGCGCCAGTAAATGCGTTATCATTCTGTACCCATGCATTGAACAAGTTTATCTGTTACGAGCAGGGCGTTATCTTGTATGGCACATGAAGAAGTCTTAAGGCAAAGTCGCAAGATCGAAATCATTGGGATATCAATTTTAAGAGCTTTTAAACTGTTTTATCGTTCGTTAATTGTTTTTGTTTGATTTTCCATTCAACTAGCAATAATAATGAATTGAGAGTCAATCAGAAATTAAATTATGAGTTTACAAGCTTTTCAATATGATGCTCTCACGATATGTACTCTGTGACTCTGCCTATTATTTTGGCCGGCTGCTCACATGATTTTCCTTTCGTTGGAATAAATTTTGGCGGAGTGATAAATATGGGCAACAACTCCTTATAATGGGACTATTTTCAAATTGTGAGTTATGTACCTTCATTGACATTGCCTGGGGAGATTTTTTAATCTGTATCAACAGTTTTTTCCCCCCCACAGACAGTGTTGAATTTTCAAAATTGTCTGAGATGGCCACCCATTGTCCAGGAAAATCAGAATCGTGGTTGTCTTAGACAGGTGGATGTCTTGGACAGTGTCGTTATTATCTTTTTTTTTTTACGCAAGATGTTACAAGATCTGCTTATGTTGTGGTACATTCTGAGGTTGCTTTTTCCGGTGGAGTGGGGTTTTTGGTTTTAATTGTCTCTCTTTGTGCAAGTTTATTGGTATTTTGCATTTGAAATATTTTGTTTTACCAAGGGTATGGGCACTAGTTCCACTTTTCATTGGGGGTTTTTTAAGCACTTGTTACGTCGAAGACTGTAGCATTTTTTTTAAATCACTTTTTTTTCTCTTGCCATTGGTTTAGGCTTTTCTTTCTTTTTCATACAAAAGTGGAAGCCTTCGTCTCACCTGCAATTTTTGTTGTTGGGTTTTTCTTGTTTTTTTACTGTTGTGCTCAGAAATTTTTATCCACAAATACTATTATTATAAGTAAGTGTTAGAAAGATGTATTGGTGATGAATGCGATGAAGTTGCACCCAGCAATATTTGTCCGTGCACTTTGCTTCACTGCATATGGTTTGACAGCTGTTTAGATGTATGAAGCCCATAATTTTTAATTTTCGTGCTTGCAGTTTGGTTGTGCTTAAGAAATATTGTGGTAAAATTAAAATTATTACTCTGAAAAAAAAAGAAGAAAGAAGAAATGCACAAAGTTGGTACAATTGTTAAAAGAATAAATGAAACAGTTCTTTCTCTCCCGTGGAAAATTTTGCTCTCTGAGCTTAGTGCATTTGAACAGCTTGCTGGCAGTTTGTTTGATATATATATATATATATATATATATATATATATTGCCAGGAGTCATTCAGTAATATTGTGGACCTTGTGCAAGTGAATATATGCTGTGCTGATAAGGCGTGTCGAGAGTTTGAATTTTATTGGAGCACATGGGAAAGTTAGAAAGTTGAGTCTGTGCAGGATACTGATGTGGTGCCTGGTTAGGGCAGAGAATGTTTCCGTCATTTTGGGGGGGGGTTTTTTGCTTTCTAACTGTGGTATTGTTATTGGTATTGTTGTATATGATCTGCAAGCTATTCAAATGTACTAGCTGAGCCCAGAGGGCAAAACTTCTCAGGAGAGAGGGAAAAAAACTGTTTCGTCCTCTTCACAATTTTGCCTGCATTATGTATCTATTCTTGTTTTTGGTTTTTGATTTTCAACTTTTAGAATGTGAGTTTTGACAATAAAATGTTTCTTGAGCACATGCTACCAACACTACTGACTACAGATTAGAAAACGGCGATTAAAAAAATTAATTAATTTTAGGCGTAGTACACCTGAACAGTTGGCCAGCAATACAATGTATGTAATTTGATGTGGATTGGAGGAGCGTGTGATTACTTGATTTCATCGGCAGTTTTCCAGAAAGTTGTGACTGCTCAAGGAATGTCTGGAATCATGGATTACTTTTCTTGACTTGCAATTTTTGTCATCACAGATGTTGTTTTGTGTGTTTGTATTCTTCTGTCGATCTCACCGTTGTTAGTGCACAGTGTGTTTGATCAAAGATAGATCGAAGCTTGAAATGTGTTTCTTTTTACACTAGGAAGAAAACTTTCGGTGCATCGACGTGGACTGAATATATGAAGGCGTATCTCTCTCAATGACCTGAGTGAATGTAGTCACACACCTGCCGACCACTCCATTACCAAAAATAGTTTTTCTCAGAATTGGAATTTGCCAGAAAAAAATGAGTCTCCAGAAGCCCAGTAGATTAGAATTATGTTACAAACTGTCAAATAAACAAAAATAAGAATGTGTGTTTTTACATCAACTTATGCAAAACAATTCATGCAAATATTGCAAATAAACCTGTGTATTTTCAATTCATTTACGATAAGAAGTGGCATTGCCACCAGTGGAAGCAAAATTTCCAGGAAACAAAATCTGATTTTATTCAAATCCTTTTGGGTTTTTTTTTATGGAAGAAAAAAAATCATCTGGCTCTGATTTCATGGGAGTACGTAGCAGGTGTGCTGATGTTGCTGACACACTGGTGTATCTCTTTGTTGTCGTTGACACTCATTCCCTTGTTGTAGATTAGATACTCTGTTTGCTACTCTGAAAGTTTGCCTACAACAAAATGTGAAATTTGTTCAATGAAATGATTGTTGACCACGGGTCTTTGGTAGTATTAAATGTGATGTTTATGATTTACTCAGACATTTCTAGTAGGCATGTACATTTTCCTTTTTGTACATCTTTTTAATGTGAGAGAGAGAGAGAGAGAGAGAGAGGATATTTAAACAGAATGGCTGTAGTTGTGTTGTGAAGTCGTCTCATGTTGTCGTGTTGTGAAGTCGTAGTTCCTGATATTCAAGTCCGTGTAGATGGTGTGTGTGGTTTAGACGGGATGGGTGGGTGGTGATGTGTCAGTTTCCTCTCCCGCTGGTGATGATCAGGTTAGAGCAGACACGGACAAGCGTTGCCAACTCACGGGCTTGATTAAGAAGCTGTTCAGAATACTTTGCGAGCCAAAGCAGTAGAGCAAAGTGGGAAATCGGTGGACAAGCTCTCCAAAAGGAGACTGAAACTGACACTATAGCATATATATATATATATATGTGTGTGTCATTCAAGAGCATGTCTTAAAATAAAATATTAGATCTATTGCTTCCAGCTGGGCCAAAAACTGTTGATTTTAATTTTCAAGATGGACAATTTTGTTTTTATTAATTACCAACTAGCCCCAGGCCACATTTATCATTAATTACTGGGTGGACTCACGGGCCATACTGAAAGTACTCATGGGCCAGATTTGGCCCTCGGGTCGTAGTTTTCCCTTGCCTGGTCTAAAGTGTGATGTGAGGGAGCTTGATCCGTCTTCTCTACCCCGTCCGTTTTCTTCTTAATATTCTATTTCTTCATTACTTTGTGAGATGCTCTTCGTTGAGTTCCTGTGAGTTCCAAAGATCTGTGGGTATCTGTTGTTCAGAATATCGTCAACATAAATGAATGCCTTGAGTTTTGTAAGCCTCCTTTGTAAATGTAAGGGCATTATGATTGTCACAAAATTCAGCAGTCTAGTGGTAGATTCCTGTGGTGTTTCTGTCTGTCTTGTGTGGACCTATGAGCTCTGCATTGAGGAATCACTGGAAATGTCACTCGACTCACTGGCAAGTTTGTAATTTGTTCAGAATGTAATCATGTGAACTAGGACTGAGTGGGATTTGATCGTGGAATCAAAAATGTGTTGTTAGTGTTGATCCAAAAAGAAATGTGTATCAGTGTTCTGTTTGCCAGTGGAGTGTCTGGTGTTCGTCTCACTTCTTGAAAATATCAGACGTGCCAATTGCCCCAAATTTTCCGGGACTCCCAGATTCAGCAGTCAGAAATTTGAGAGTCTTGTCATCACATGCACTATGGCAGAAGCAGTCTCAGTTTATTAAACAATTTTTGTTTTAAGTAGTATGAAGTCATATTATATCACGTTGAGTTTTGAAAGAGTTGGCAATCCTGAAATGTAAACATCAACACAGTAGTGTGGGAATGCAGGGACGCAGGTGTCCCCATAAATTGTGAACACGATGCTGTTCATTTGAACTCACTTGTCTGCCTTGTACATAGGGGGAAAGTAATCAGGGAATTTGAAGGTACTGAGTGCTGTAGAACAAAGTGTTCTACTTACTTTCTCTGTGTGCGTGATGGTGCGATGGTGGGAAATTTTCTATTACATTTGTTGTGTTGCCAGCCTTGAGATTGCTTTTGTGAGAGGCCGAGCAGTGAATGAACTGACTGGAAGTTGTTTGGGGAAAAGTAAAGTGTAACCTCCCCTCCACGTTTTCGTGCCTCTCGACAATCACCACCCACAATTCCCTCCTGCGTGTATCGGACAAAACTGCCACCCCACAAGGACGCCTGGGTGGATGTTGCACATTAGGTCATGCAGTTCGACATTGGGGGAGGGGGTTGTGGCTGTATTTTCTTTTCCTTCTGCTTGCTGTGTGCTTGTGCAATGCTGTATATTTATTCCCGATAATTCCATGAACAGTTTGTGGAGGCACACAGCAAGAAGTGACTCATCGTCTCTTTTTCAGAGAAGGAAATGGTTGTGAAAGTGTTGAAAAGTGAGTGAGTTGTGGTTGGTTGGCGGGTGCTATAGTGTGGTTTGCTCCTTCAAATGTCTATCATCCTTATCTCTCCTCCTACTTTTCTTCATATGTTACTCTCCAGTTACACCTCAAACCTTTGGCACTTGAATGACCTATTTGTGTTACAAGTACCAAAAAAACCAACTAAACATGTCAGACTCAACCCCCCACCCCCGAAAAAAAAACCTCACACTCACACACGCACCTTCCCGATCCAACAATATTTCCTAAAAGTAAAAGTTCCCAAGATTGTTTTCTGCGTGTATTCAGAAGTTTTTTGTTTTGTTTTTTCATTTCTTTTTAATGTTTCTGTGCATGAAAGTTGAAAGATTTTGCCTTCTTTATCTGTATCATCATAATCCTCTCAACTACATTTAAAAGAGAAAAAAAAGAATGCTCTTCGAATGATTCCTTTAATGTATTTGGATGGTTAGTTTGTCATTGAGTGTCTCCTGCTTTGTGTCTAGGTGGATGACGTGTTTTTGCATTTCAGACTTGCATCTTGTCATTTCTTTTTATTGTGAAATTAAAGGTTTCAATTTGATATTTATAGCAGCGCTTTCTTGTGGTTTTTGTAAATTTTTTGGTAGCAAGATTTGCATTCCATTTGTTCTAAGTTTCAGGGCGGCTTATAATTAATTTCCAATAAAGTATCTGTACCCTGTGGGCACGTTTCTGCTACTCTGATAAAATCTCTTCTTTCACCCC